ACTTTACACTTTATTTATATGTACAATAGGAATTAGATTTAATACCATAGGTTTTCTAGCATGAGAAATGTTGAGATAGGAAAAATAGATGTGGCCGAAACATTAAAACCTTACTTCCTGAAAATATCACCAGCTCTTCTAGCACCGGCTACAATACCAAGCCATGTTTCCTCGCATACTTGCTGAATGTATCTCGGTTCTAAGACGAAACCTTGCATGCCCGAATTCAGACCGGGCAACTCATACGTGTAACTAAACGGAACGCCAATTGAATGAGCGTAATCTTCCGATGCTCCTGAAGCAGCATATCCGATGACCAGAACGGAATTGCCGACGACGTAACGCGGGAAGTGACTTAATGCTTTAGAGTTGATCGCGTCGGCCATCGCTATACCGACCGTGTGGAGTCCTAGGGCGTTGTTCGACAGAGACCCATCGTGACCCCAAGGGTACAGGATCATACTGCCGAAGCTGTGCATGGTCAGGTACAGTGCGATGCGCGGCAGATGCTCGTGCAGGATGTCGCGTACAGCTCTTACTTCGACCTCGGAGAAGGCTCGGCGCCCGGCAAACGTGTCTGCGCATGCGTTGCTGCTCGTACCCACAGTATTCCAGAAGAAGTCATAGTTGCGGTTACCGTCGACCCCCGGGCAAATAGAGCCGAGAGCGGATTGATCAGTCGATCGGGTCTTGCGCCAGAAACGATTCTGCATAGAAAGAATGATTTGCAAACTATTATATGGCGTAATTAAAAAATTCCAGCGATTTTCTTGAAAAAATATCCTGTCATTTTAGGGACATACACTAATAATTTTTAGAACTGTAATGAACATGAGAGGATCTTAAGTCCGTCTGTGCTTAGGGGCCCTATAAGGGTGGGTATGACCATCTTACTTATTTGCGCTACTAAGCACGCTTCAGTTCGTGGAGTGGTATACTGGACTTTTTTTTTTCTTTATTGCTTAGATGGGTGGATGAGCTCACAGCCCACCTGGTGTTAAGTAGTTACTGAAGCCCATAGACATCCACAACGTAAATGCGCCACCCACCTTGAAATATAAGTTGTAAGGTCTCAAGTATAGTTACAACGGCTCCCCCACCCTTCAAACCGAAACGCATTACTGCATCACGGGAGAAATAGGCAGGGTGGTGGTACTCACCCGCGCGGACTCACAAGAGGTCCTACCACCAGTAATTACGCAAATTATAATTTTGCGGGTTTCATTTTTATTACACGATGTTATTCCTTCACCGTGGAAATCAATCGAGAACATTTGTTGAGTATGTATTTCATTAGAAAAATTGGTACCCGCCTGAGATACACCGGAGCGTCGCTCAACACGAATGCACCGGACGTCTTATCCGTTAGGCCACGATTACTTCAAAAGAGCGTATAGGTCTATGGAAGGGCTGTGCGTTCCATTGTCTGTTGTACCTTGATCCATGGAATTTGCTCCAAGGAATACCTTCATATGATGATATCACCATCACAGTGTATATGTTCCTGTGTGTTTTGAAAAAAAACAACGCAGGGATACCGCTACCAAGCGCTAAGTTAGCCAAGGACTTAGGTTTGTAGCGGTCACAAAGTTCACTAGTTTAATATAACACTTGTCTCCTTTCATATAAACAAAACTTACGTTGGTAAATGTGAACCGATAACCATCAGGATTGACAACAGGAAACAGGATCCAATCAAACCGGTCCAAAAGGTCTGGTTCTGTCACGTCTTCCACTAGCTTGCGAATGGCCCAGGTGACTGTCGGTGGGGAAATCCATTCTCTTGCGTGGATACCGCCGTCGATGACGATGACCGGCTTCGATTTATCTTCGAAATTGGTGCTGGAAATCTTTAGGTATTTAAGATTTCGACCCTCGAAAGATTGACCGGCGTTGACCAGGGTTGCTCTGTTTGGGAATCGCCGAGCAACGTCGTCAAGGTAGGCTTCGATCTGTAAATGGGGGTAAATCGTTATCGAAAAAAAAAAAACGGTTTGTCTGTAAAGTCGGTTTACTGACGGTAGTTGAACGTGACAACGTCATAAGAAAATACTGATGGAATGGTTTCATTTTTCAATTATCGTTGCTATAAACAATTGACACCACATTCACTTTTCACTGAACTTCATACTTGACGAAAACATGTAAATGTATTATTGTATAGCAGCTGTTCACGCGGATGCATCGCTCACTCAAGTAGGAGAGAGACAGATGTCGAACGCTGCCGAACGCGGAGGCCGATTGTGCCTCTTTGTCGCTCGTTGCGCGCTCTTGCTTGCACTTCAAGACTTAAATGGAACGCCTCAGAGCGAGGTAACGCCGCATGAGTCATGCTTTTTCGTGCGTGCAGCCGGCTTCATCGAATTATAAGACGATATCACGTCAAAAACCTAGCGAGCTTAATTCGCTGGATCTTTCTTGAACTGTCGATATTTTCGAAGAAGCGAAGATATAACAATGATTCGCATAAAGCTGTGCTATACTGTTTTAAATTTAATTTGGTTAATTAGGGCATGTGGTTTTGAATATTTTCTCTTCACTTTTCCTATTTGAGTATTTTATGTGTTGTGAAGTGCATTCAGAAGTGCCCAAGATTAGATATTTAAAATACTGTTCTGATAAAATGATTATAGGTTCGCCTTCTTTGTATTTTATCTCGGATAACCAATGGTGCAACAAAGACTTTAGATATTTAGTGGACGCCGGTGTCCCCATAAAACTGAGTAATTTCCAAGTACATTAAAATATATCGTTTAACCTAATATCGGACTGATCGGTCGTTTTTTACGAAATACCTACCGATTATTTTTTATACTGTGGCACTTTTGGTTCCATACAGATAATAATATAGTTCCAAGGGCATGTTTTGTTTGGCTATTACCGTACTTTTCAGTAGCTAGCGTAGTAATAATAATATGAAGTTACAGTGGTTACTTCTAACTGAGAGACAAAGCCCGCTGAGTTTCCGTCCCGTCGTGACCGTGCGTAGTTAGAATAGCCCCTTAGGCTGGGCTCACACGGCATTGTCCTGCACATATCCTCATACGGTAGATTTCAATTCATGTAAAAACAAATGTGTGAACGAGATAGAGCGAGATATGCGTCACTCCAACGTTAAAGCTCATTCGTTTTGTTTGACAAGTCCGTTGAGTATTCGTTTAAACGGCGGTGTAAGATTTTTGGAACGAAGTTCCTTATGAGACGATGCGGAGGGGTACCCTAACCGGGGAAAAAACGTCCGTAACGTAAGATTTTTATTAGTAATGCACACAGTGTACGACTTAACTTTGTAATAACGTACAATTTAGTAATGCATACAGTGTACAACTTAACTTTGTAATAACGTACAAAAAATAACATATTTTTATTATAATTTTATTTATAAATCATTGTGAATAAAATAAAGTTAATAACTTTGAAAAGTAGTTTTATTTTATTTTTATCAATAAAAAAATCATAATAAAAAATGTTCAAATACCCAAATAATTATTTTCTTTATGAACTTAAAATTATTATTTTTATAATAAGGAACTTTGTTCCTATCCGGTGTCACACGACACCACACATCTTTTTTTTTGGTTCTATGTACAATGTACGTGCCACTATTCATTCGATAATACGTATACTGCAAATAAACGTGCAGGACAATGCCTTGTGAACCCAGCCTTAGGCTACCAAGGATTAGGTAGGAAAAAAATTGATCACTATGATTTAGTAACCGAACTTACCGCTTCCCAGGTCTGGTAATTGTCATAGGGCAGTCTTGCTCCGTTTCTGGCTTTGGTCGCATTGTGTGCCTCTTCAATAAGCATATCGTCGTAATCAAGCTTACTGCAATAGAACATTTGTTTTGTGAAGTTTCAACAATGTACATCTATATTTATTTGCCTATATGTATGTAACCTCTATACGATTTATCTTAAAAGAGGTTAATATGTTATAATCTATATATCTCGTTCGTTAGTCTCGCTAAAACTCGAGAACGGCTGGGCCGATTTAGCAAATTTTGGTCTTGAATTATTTGTGGAAGTCCAGAAAAGGTTTGAAAGGTAGATAAATATGAAAACGCTCGGAATTAAATAAAAATAACAATTTTGTTTTTCCTTTGATGTGTCCCCCGTCGGACGGATTCGTTTTGTTTGTTTTAAGTTTATTTTATACAAAAGTTTAGGTCTTTTATTTATCGATTGAGGCACTACGAAGTCTGCCGGGTCAGCTAGTATGTTATAAAGATGACATAAATGGAATTTTAACTATTGAAACATTAGAAGGAACATTAGAAATATAAAAGCAATTTGGGATTTTGAAATATAAAAAACATACAATGGCGGTGAAGCAATAGCTTTAAATGTTGTTTCTCTTTATAGAGCAACTCAATTTGTGCTATAGTTTTACTAGGCTAAAGTTTATTTTGATGTAAATAAAATAATACATTATATTATGTACTATCGATGTTCGTTTTGGTAGTAACCGATTGATGGTAGTGTTTTGAAAAATGCTTTTTCTCTTTCGTTTGTGTGCGGGAATGAGTGCGCATGTGTTCACTCTGATTTTGCGTTTTTTGTATAACTAGAGATCCCGCAGTAGTCGAAATTCGACTATAATTAATTGGAATTGTAAGTTTTACACTATTATGATTGTATTTTATACTTCTATAATCACAAATTTCGCCAAGACTACACTATAAAAGATATTAACAAAGACAAACAATATTTAATCTATTCTCAATTTGACAACAGACGTCAAGAACAAAAGTTTGACAATAAATAGTAGGCATGCGTGTGTGCGTCAAATACATGGTATGTAGTGTGTGTAATGTTTTCTTTATTGATTTAATGTATCTTTTATGCATTATTTAAAAAAAAATATTAGCATTGTGCACTCCTTCTCTATATTCTCTATAAGTGTGGAAAATTTCATACTCCTCCGTCCGCGCAATTTTCGTAAAAAGGGATACAAAGTCTTTGCTTCATGTATTAATATATAGATTATTATGAGATATTGGCTTTTAGTGTTAACTAGTGTTTCGTCCAGATGTCGATAATGAAGTTTCGGTGTGTCAAGTGTTAAATTCACTTCGTGGATTACATTTACTTTATTGTTTTATTATTTTCGTTTTCTATTTCTGGTTTTTAGGGTTTTCTTCGGTTTTGACGAGTTGTAAAAATAATTTAGACTATTAGTACTGGTTAATCAAATATAAACTATTTTTCATTGATAAAGCTTGTTATGAACTAATTGATAATCGTCTGAAAAACAAAGCAGATAATGGTACTGAAATGTTTTTATCTAACTATATTTCGACGCTGCGTATTACTGTAATACTGGATATTGTGAATGGAGAAGTGTTTTCTTTATAGTTTCCCAATGGAAATAATCTTGAAATTTTTATATGAATACATATACAGTGTTGAGATGCATTAAAAATAGTAAAGTCCATCAGTTTTGAGTTGAAACTTCTTAAGCGATGTGAACGAGTGTTTAGATATTATTTTAAAGATGTCGTGTTTTTTACTAATTGTAGGGCGTCTTGGAGTTCACGTGAGCTCACCGCCCTGTTTATTTCTGCCGTGAAGCAGTAATGCGTTTCGGTTTGAAGGGTGGGGCAGCCGTTGTACTACAAAAATGGAGACCTGAGAACTGTTATCTTAAGGTGGGTGGCGGCATTTACGTTGTATATGTCAATGGGCTCCGGTAACCATTTAACATCAGGTGAGCCGTGAGCTCGTCCACAAACTCAACCAATAAAAAAATCTATATTTTTTTCGCTTTAATCAGAATGTACTCATACAATTAAATCACAAAAGGAATCGATTAATCTGTAGATTAAATAACGAAAAAAAAAACAAACTATTAAATTATTCCACTGATTTATCAACAATGATTCATTGATATCAGCGTAATTCTAGATTTGAAGCCTGCTCGTATTATTGTTTAATGTACTGTGATATAATATTTAATTGATTACATAGTAGTCGAAATTGATAATACATACCATAATTACATTTGTTATAATTCATAATTAGAAGTTTTAGGTCTAATTATAATTTAAAAAAAAACCCGTTAATTCATGTTTGTAAAGAGATTTTTTGTGACTTCAAAATGTGATCCTTGGTGTACTCGTTTGGTGGGACTAAAATCTCTTCTTGGTTTGAAGGATAGTCCTAATGTAAGCCGTAATGCATTACAATCGGTAGTTTTATTTCGCGTCTCGAAATTGATAATTGTACTCACGATGTAATATGGACCTTGGAAGTCACTAAATACCAGATACCTCAGCCCACATCCGGTTCCAAAATAAGACTCGAGAAAGAAAAAGATCAAGGTTTCTTTTGGTCAAGAGGTCCTTTATTGGAGACAGTTTTTTTGGCTGTTCGTCGCCGGTATTGATGGATATCTCACATGTCACTGATACACTATTACAGTTCGAATATAATAGAAACAGTCTCTTATCAATTACCTAGTTTCCTAATTAGCTTCGCTGAGCAATTACGCTTCTTATTTTATTTTTATTGCTTAGATAGGTGGACGAGCTCACAGCCCACTTAGTGTTAAGTGGTATCAACGTGGTTGAGATGTAAGTTCTAATGTCTCAGTATAGTTCAAACCAAAATGCATTACTGCTTCACGGCAGAAACAGGCAGCGCGGTAGTACCTATCCGTGCGGACTCACAAGAGGTCCTACCACCAGTAATTACGCAAATTATAATTTTGAGGGTTCGATTTTTATTACACGATGTTATTACTTCACCGTGGAACTCAACCGTGAACATTTGTTAAGTACGTATTTCATTAGAAAAATTGGTACCCGCCTGCGGGATTCGAACACCGTTGCATCGCTAGATATGAATGCACTGTACGTCCCATTCTTTAGGCCACGAAGACTTTAAGATACAGACAGCGTATGTGATACAGCGGCATCGGAGATGACTAACCTTTTGATGTCATCAGCATGGATCCTGTAGGCAATACCCTGGCCATCCATTAGACTCGTGAAAGCTTCGAGCTGATCAGGCTGCACGAGGACCAACCCTTCACGCTGCGTGGTCGCATGACCGAGCACATCCAGGTCCAGTTGCTGTATCAGCGAACCGAAAGTCTTGAGTTGGACATCGTTTGATGGTCTCACGTGGAAAGTTTTCCACCTGAAAAATTTATGATTCAATAAATTAAGTACTTCAAGTTTGGTGTTATGAATATTCAAGTTTCCCGTATTGAAAGTAAACATGAGGTCGCAGGATGATTGAATACAAGTCCCTTAAAACATATCGTTACGAAGTTTTTTTATTTTTTTTGATGGTGAGTGGTTACCGTCGCCCATGGGCGTCAGCAATGTCAGGGGCATAGCCAATACTGTCTAATACTCTCCACAAGCCTCGTTTGAAGAAGGACATGTCATAGCGCTTGTGGCCAAGTTTGGAGGATGTCGGCCAATGTTGTGAGAAGCAGGGTGACAATCTTGAAAAACTACTCATCACAGCAAAGTGGAAGGAAAGAGGCAAAGGGGGCTTAGTCCTATGCGCTGGCCCAATCAAATTAGGATGACATTGGCCTCCAACATAATCCAATGCGCAGTGGATAGGAATGAATGGAGGGACATAGTCCGAACAAAAGTTCTTCGTAAAGGTCACGACCCTCAGCACTGAGGAGCAAGGAAGAGGATGTTTAATAGGGCACGTTTGTAGGCTAATGTTGAACAAAATCTAAGCCACATACGCAATGTCACGTCATCCCTTCCATTTAATTATTTGTTAATTGTCACATACGTTAAGTAGAATATTCGGTTAACCAATTGTCAGAATATACTTAAGAATTTATTTTCTTTGGTATCCCAAAAACCTAGTCCATTAAGTAATCATCAGCTCAGGAGATCTTATAGGTCCTATATATCTATACTAATTCTGATCTTCTTGATTTTCGCCTTTATCAACGGTATCTTCATCGTATGTGTGAAATACGCACTGTCTTGTGCACCAATTGAGAGTATTGTGCTAAGTAGGCTTCTGGATTGAAGTAGTTGTGGATTCCAACTTGAAAAATTGCATGAGTATATTCGCAGCTCCAATGAGACTTTGGCTTAATATGTATCACAAGTTTTTACATTTAATTACTAATAAAAATAAAACTGTTAATTTTCCATATAATTTAAATAATTTTCTAAGTAACCAAATATTACTTACCCAATATAATGTTCATGTTTGGCGAACACAAACGTAATGAGACCCAACAGAATCCAAGCCCTCATCTTGCTACAAGAATGTGCCAATGGGAATTATCTTACTTTTTATAACCATATTTTGAAGATAAGGGTGCCGATAAAACGATAACTGTTATCGCAAGACTCATAGTTTATCGGTTTGAATAGTGATTTGCTAAATGTTTAACCGGCCCCAGAGTATGTCGTAAAAATATTAAAGGTTAGAAGAACGATCAGTCTTGTTTAAAAGTTGAGTATATTCTCTTCTCTTGTACTACTGGGCGGTATTTCTGGGATTTCTATTCGACAATCCGCTATCAGGTTACTAAATCCTGGAAACTCTTATCAAAATAAATACGTTCAATGTCGATGTTTACAACTTGAGTGTAAAATAAGTTTAGCGCTACATTGTAGAACATTATGACTAGTGGTCCCACAGTAGTCGAAATTCGACTATAATTAATTAAAATTATAAGTTTGACCATTATTATGGTTCTATTGTCAAAGGCTATTTATTATATTTCTATAATCAAAGATTTCGCCAAGACTCCACTATAGACAAATAATATTAAAGATAAACAATATTAACCTACTCTCAATTTGATCACAAACTTGAAGGAATGACAAAAGTTTGACAATAAATAAAGAGTATTTAAATGTGTGTGTGTGTGTGTCAAATACATGGTAGTGTGTATAACGTTTTTATTTATTGATTTAAAGTACTTTTATGCATAATTAAAAAAAAAAAATTGTATTCTGCACTCCTCTATATTCTCTATAAGTGTGGGAAATTTCATACTCCTCCGTCCGCGCAATTTTCGTAAAAAGGGGTACAAAGTTTTTGCTTCACGTATTAATATATAGATATAACCATTTAGTTTCACGTTTCGTTTGCCGGGTAGCCGTCAGAGGATCGTGGTATCTGAGGAACGCGAATTTTCATGACGATCTACAATAAGAATTGATACGGAAGTATCCGACGACAGCGTCAGAGTGGTGGCGATAACCCTCTTATCATGTGCGCCACTAATTACATAACCGACCTAGACAACGGGCAACGCAAACCCTCATTTTATCAGATCCTCCCAATCTACTCCGGTGCTTTTAGGGTCTTCAAATATTAGTCACTATTCTCATTGAGCTCTTCAAATATGACGAATACAATACACTTGATCGGATAGGATACAGCCTAAGGGTTTGAAAACTATGCTCGACTTCTGCGAGTGCACCATCTCGCAGCAGGAGGCGGCGGGGCGAGTGAGGCAAAGCTCTCCTTACTATGCAGAAACCCGCCGCCGCCGAACAGGGGGTCGGGACCGGGGTCCCGTCCGTAACCCGGCCCCCTAAGAGCTTCGGGCTCCACCCGCTTTGTGCGGGGAGGAACCTAGGTGTAGGGCGGCGTGGTAGGTCGCGTTCCTCCGACCGCTCCGGGGGAAGGTGTAGCGCGGCACTATCAATCGGGCTCTTGGCCCGTCGACCGAGGGAACCGGCGGTCATGTTGCTGGCGGCCGCCGGTCCGGCGTCTGGGGGACGGCGGGATGGATGTAATGTGCTCTGCGTAAACCCTGTCCCGCCGTCTCAATAGCTCCGACTGGGTTTCCGCCCGGTCCGGGGTAGGGCGCCGGCTNTGGCCCGTCGACCGAGGGAACCGGCGGTCATGTTGCTGGCGGCCGCCGGTCCGGCGTCTGGGGGACGGCGGGATGGATGTAATGTGCTCTGCGTAAACCCTGTCCCGCCGTCTCAATAGCTCCGACTGGGTTTCCGCCCGGTCCGGGGTAGGGCGCCGGCTGTGAGCGGCAGGAGTTTTTAGTGAGGTTCGACTCCCACCTGCCGTGCGGGTGGGGATCCGGCGATTTTCTCCTGTGGTAAAAAAAAAGGGTTTGAAAAGGATGTTCGTGACGGCTAACCTGGTGTTGAACTTTCAACAATTGGTGGTCAGTGGATATTGAAATCCTCAGCCAAAAAAAGGGGATAAAAGAAAGTGGAAGCTTCTACTTCGAGCTCTCTTGAAACAGATCGCTACGTGACAATAAAAAAAAGAAAAAAAAAACATTTTATGGACTAATCGTTGATATGAATTAAAAAAAAAAATTGCCTTTTTGGGTAGACGAGCATACAGCCCACTTGATTGTGTGTGGTTACCGTCGCCCATGGTTACGTCAGCAATGCCAGGAGCACAGCGAAGCCGCTGCCTACCGTTAAGCACTCTCCATAAGCCTCGTTTGAAGAAGAACATGTCATAGCGCTCGGGCAAACACCATGGAGGGGAGCTCATTTCAAAGCCGGACGGTACGTTGCAAAAAAGATCTCTGGAAACGCACTGTGGATGAACGCAGTGGCTCCAGGTAGTACGGATGAACTCTACTCCGGTGGCGGGCAGTGTGGTGGTAAAAACGAGATGATGGGATCATCTCAAACAATTCCTCAGATTACTCCCCATGGAACAGATGGAAGAAAGATTTTACGAAATAAAAAAGCAACCTAATTAATTGTACAGCTTTTATTAAGCTCTAAATAAAATTCCGGATTTACTGGCACCGGCTACAATGCCTTCCCAAGTTTCAGTAGCCACTTGTTTAATATAAATTGGATCCAAGAAGAATCCTCTACCGCCTCCTGGAAGCTCGTAGGTATATGACAGCGGCACCCCAACTGAATGGGCGTAGTCTTCAGAAGCTCCGGATGCTGCGTACCTCAATACGAGAGCTGCGTTTCCAACGACATATCTTGGGAAGTGGCTTAAAGCCTTAGTGTGGATTGCGTCTGCCATTTCAATACCAACGGTGTGAAGACCAAGAGCGTGGTGTGATAAAGAGCCATCGTGTCCCCATGGGTACAAGATCATGCTGCCATGGCTGTGAATAGTAAGGTATAGACTGATTCGGGACAAGTGCTCATCCAAGATATCACGGACTATTCTAGTTTCAATCTCGGAGAAGGCCTTTGGTCCGCCGTAGTTCTCAGCGCAAGGGTTAGTACTCGTACCAACGGTGTTCCAATGGAAATCATAGTTTCGATTGCCGTCTACTCCCGGACACCTTTTTGTGTTGGGGGAAACGATTGATCTGGTCTTGCGCCAGAAACGTTGCTAAAAAAACAAAGATATTTAGTAGTAAAATTTAAAAAGCATTTTATAATTACGCAGATTCGTTAAGGGTAGGACCTTTTGTGAGTCCGCGCGGGTGGGTACCACCACGCTGCCTATTTCTGCCGTGAAGCAGTAATGCGTTTCAGTTTGAAGGGTGGGGCAGCCGTTGTAACTTACTTGAGACCTTAGAACTTATATCTCAAGGTGGGTGGCGCATTTACGTTGTAGATGTCTATGGGTTCCAGTAACCACTTAACACCAGGTGGTCTGTGAGCTCGTCCACCCATCTAAGCAATAAAAAAAAAGAACTTTGATATATAATTACCGTATTCAAAGAGAACGTGTATCCGTCGGGATTGGCAACAGGGAAAATGACCCAATCGAAATTATTCAACAGATCAGGCTCTGTCACGTCTTCAACTAGCTTGCGAATGGCCCAAGTAGCTACAGGGATCGTGGCCCATTCTCTGGCGTGGATGGCTGCGTCTACTACAACAACAGGTTTGCTCGCATCTTCGAAGTTTGTTGTGGAAATTTTCAGGTACTTGAGGTTTCGCCCTTCGAAAGTCCTTGCTGCATTAACCAATTTCACTAAATCGGGATAGCGGTGAGCAATGCCGTCTATGTACTCTTCAATCTGTAAGATGTTTTAGGAAGAAATTCTGCAGAAAATCAAACTGTCGTCGTGAATATAACATTAATTCCAAACACATTATTTCAATTGTACTTTCACGTAAATTCATCGGGTCTACCTTAATAATTAAAGAACCTTGAAGATAAATACTTTTACGGGAATAATAGTTTTACCAATCTTGCTAAACTAACCAAACAAATGGTTATGATGAAGCGAAATGTGAGAGCGTTAGAATAATGCTCTTAGCCAGAAGATAAAATAGTGGTATATAAATTATAATAATATAAAATTGTAGCGACCATAATTAATGTGGAATGACTAATGGGTTTTTAACTTTGACAAGAATCTTCAAGGATTCATCATCAATCTGACAAGGATCTTTTCAATATTCAAATTATTTTTTGGAAGATTCTATTCAAAGATTTATGATTCTGCCACACTCTCTTACCACTGGCCAATCATGGTAGCTGGTGTATGACAGTCTCTCTGTACTTCTCGTTTGGTTCCTTCTCAATTCCAAGATGGCGTCCTCGTAGTCAAGTTGCCTGTAAGATTATTAAGAGAGGTGATGAATATGGTATGATGATAAAGCATTCTCGCTCACGACTCGGTCGTGCGCGGACGTGCTTTCCGATCCGTGGCCCGCTTGCGAGCTGCGTCTCTGAACTCACAGTTGTGCTCGACAGTGTAGTGACCGTGAATACATCGTGCTTACAATTCAGTAGTGCGGACGTGCCGATCCGTTGGTCGCTTGCGATTTGCGTCTCGGAGTCCATTTTTGTGCGCTAAAGTGTTGTAACCGCGAACCCACCCTTTACCAACTGCCTTTTTCAAGGCAAAACCAATCGCTACGATCAGGCTTCCTGTGGCACTCACAGGCTAGCGATTTCCTAACCCTTCCCAAAACAACAGTCTTTTTCAAGACTAGACCCCCGCTCGCGATTCTGCCTGCTGTAGCACTATACAGCCCGAGCGGGTTCCTTTCCTTTTCCCCGCCGATTGCCGTTTTCACGGCATAGGCATTCCCCCCCCCTGCTCCTTGCTGTCCTGCAGCACAGGGGGGTTACAAATCCTATCCGGGGCCTCGCCTTTCGGCGAGTTCAACAAAAGTCCCGGGGCCGCCCCCCCCGGGCAAGAAGCAAGAAGAAACATGGAAGAAAGTGCAAGTGTTTGTGACAGTGATCTTGTCGGGTTCCTCCGGGATAGGTACCCGTCAATTAGGGCCGAATATTTAGCATTTAGGGCCTCTCGTGGCAATCCCTCCCCCCCCGCGTCCGTCGCCGCGTATTTCAACCGTGCCTCGGAGGCACGCCGCGCGCCCCCCGCCGCGTTAAGTTCGAGCGCACGTTCCGACGATGCGACTCACGAAGCGCCTAGCGCTACCCCCACCCCCGCGCCCGCGTCGATTACGTCATCGCTCGTATCGTCCGTCGCGACCTCGATTGTTTCGAGTTCAGGCTCCGATACCGAATCGGAGATGGATTTCGAATCCGCGTCAAGCCCTCAGCCTGGAACTTCGGATGGGTTCCAAACCGTAACGCGCGGTAAAAAGCGTACTCGCGCCGTGGAGTCCCGGAGCTCCACGACGAAGCAGACAAAATCCGCGACCGCCTCCCGCCCGCAGGTAGTCGTGACACCGGAGTCGGACTCCGCTCGCCGCGTAACCCCGCCGCCGCGTCCCAAGCCCGCGCCCGCTCCTAAAGCAGCTGCCCCGCCCCCGCTGATTCTCCAGGAAAAAACTGCGTGGAACCGCGTTTCCCAGGCCCTTCAGGCAAATAAAATTAATTATACCCATGCGCGTAACGTCGCGCATGGGATTCAGATAAAGGTCGCAACGCCGGGCGACCATAGGGCCCTCTCAGCATACCTCCGAAAGGAGAACATAGGTTTCCACACCTATGCTCTTCAGGAGGACCGCGAGCTCCGCGTAGT